AGATAGAGAGTTTAGAGAGAGAGAATTCAAAAATATAGTAAAGAGTATTTTCGTAATTGGAGGGCGGTGACTAGTAATAGGGGGCGGTAAATAGCAATCCACAAAATATATGTATGATATGTAAATTTTATTTTAAAATTGTTTCGGTAAAATTATAAAGAAAATATTAAAATAAGATGAAATTATTATTATTATTATTATTATTATTATTATTATTATTATTATTATTATTATTGTTGTTGTTGTTCTTCTTCTTCTTAAAATAAAATCATTAAGAAGTATTTTTATAAACAAGTTTCGTCTGATTTGATTTCCTCAGTGTGTCCCCAGAACGCTCTCGCGAAGCTTACAATCACAATCACCGCATGCAAATTGCAATGTTCTGTTGAGTTGTGTTTTCGAATCTTGATGTAATAATATTTCTGTAATTTCTCAATTGTTTTTGTGGGGCAGCAATTATTAGCGTGTGTTTTGTGTCTTTGTATTTGTACAATCGAATAACTCACAAGGGAATATGCTGTCCAAGCAACTGTATTTCAACGCGCACCTAATGGCGGTATCCTCTTTCTACGAGTGTTCTTCGTATGTGGGTATGTTTCATTTTTCATTTTTTCGAATTAATAGCTTTTCTGAGCTGGATTTATTTTATTTATTTATTTTTTTTTTCCGAATGGTACACAATTTTCCCACTGATGCTGATTATGGGAGAATTTGATGGTTGATTCTTGTGCCCTATATGGATTCAGTTTCTCTCTTGTTTTTCCCTAATGTTTTTTTTTTTTTTTTTTTAATCTTCAGGACAATATTTTCTTGCCAAGCATATTGACCTTTCTGAAAGTTTTGATCTTTGTTCTATTTCTTGATCTGGGGTGACATTGGAACTGGCATTTTGTGGTATCAAATAAAAGTCGAGAGGAGGAAACGAGGAGATTTCGATTTCTTGATCCGACTTGTGTAGGCGCCTTAAACTTTATGTGGTTGATGAGTTTGAAGTTTCCATTCTGCCGATTTTGTAAAGTGTTGTTTGTTAGGAGATAGCAATTCTATACATTTTTTTTCCCCATAATTTTCTCAATATGCAAGCTGTGGGGAGACTAGGTAGCTACATTAGTAAAAGCGTATACTCAGTTTCGGGCCCTTTTCACCCATTTGGTGGTGCAGTTGATATTATCGTAGTAGAGCAGCCTGACGGGACCTATAAATCCTCCCCTTGGTATGTCCGGTTTGGGAAATTTCAAGGTGTACTGAAAACAAAAGAGAAGGTGGTCAGCATCAACGTTAATGGGGTTGAGGCAAAGTTTCACATGTACTTGAATCATAAAGGGGAGGCTTATTTCTTGAAGGAAGTTGATGGAGAAGAAAATGATGGCGGGATTCCAGCTTGCTCACCTCCATCCTCATCCGGTGAGGACATGGAAAGAAGCATGAATAGGAGGCCGTTGGAAACAATAAATTACAATTGCGACCCTAAGTGGTCTGAGAACGAAAAAGATGCAGTGATCAAGATGAATTCTCGGCCATCTCAGATTTTGGGTCTTGTTTTTGGCAGAAAACCAGCAAAAGGTGAAGAAAATGAATCTGGGGCTGTCAGGGCAGACTCTTTGGAACGAGCCGAGATTGCAGCCGATTTACTTGACTTGAAGTGGTCGACCAATCTTGATTCTCCTAGGCTCAAGAAAGGTAATAATAGTTGTAATAATAACAATAATGCGTCACGGGTTTCGACTGATATATCAAGAGATGGAGTGGATATAAATTTGCTGGTTGATGATTCTCGTATTGGGGAAAATATGAACGAAATGAAATGTGTAATTGAAAAGTATGTTGTTGAAACAATAACTTCAGTTGAAAATTCGGAGAGTGAAGAAACAGGCTTCTCTAGATCAGAATATCATGCTAGTCCAGCTAATGTAATCTCAGAGGTTAGGAGACCCGGTACACAGATTCAAGATTTTGTCGAGAAGGGTAAAGGGGATACTCAGTTTACTTTGGTTCGTGAAGAGAGGGTGTGTACAAGTGGAGGAAGTACGTGTACTGCTTCAGAAACTATCATCGCTGAATATTCTGAATCAGTTTCAATTCACGAAGCTAATAAAAAAGTCGTTTCACAAGGTGAAGAAGTAAATGCGTGTGGATCCCCTGAAGGGCTTCCTTGTAAACCCCAAAGTTTGATCTGTGATAATCAAGAACCCAGAATCTCAGAGGAAGAGCATCTGGTCTTTGGTAATCTAGATGATTTTGGTTTGGCTGATGTTAGAGCGGATTCCTCAATTTCATCAAGGGATGACGATGGTGTTAATGAGTCATGTAATGCAAAATGTTTGTCATTGGACCAATCTGTTATAGACAACTATATTGACGATGTTGATCCACAGAGAATAGGGTTAAGATCAGTATCTAGCGAGTCTTGCATTAAGGAAACTGGCAATGTTCATTCCAAAGCTGTCAAAAGACTAGTGAGGTCATTGCCGATTACAGGACCTCTCGGTGATAAGCTTGAGATAAGTGATGAGCGACAATCTCCTGGTGCTCAAACGTATGGTAGTGTTGCAATTATACAAGATATGAAAGAGGGACATGATAACCCGGTGACCGGTAAGAGAAATCATTTAATTTGGTTGTAGTCTTGATTTATTATGTTGCTGTAGTTGGTAAATTGCTAAGTCAGGTGTGGCCATCTGATTATCACATGGAAAAAATCCTCCACCTGCTAACTCTGACGTATTATGAATTAGTTGCTGATATCATATGTTGGGTCTTTTTTCCTTTTTTTAATAAGTTCCTCTTCTTTTTGGTTTTGCTATACCAAATGATAATTTCTGTGTTCAATGTCAGAAATAACGAAAAGGTCGCAACTATTTTCATTTCACCACTGGGATAATCCTTTGAATTCCATGACCAGCTTAGTTTTTTCGTGTTAATTAACAACTCTTTCATCCTGTACTTCCTTGTTTATTTTCGAGAATGGCTTCCAGCAAAAAAAAAGCAAACCCTTTAAAATCATGTTTCAAGTACTAATATTTTATCATATATATATATATATATATATATTAAATGGTACATGAAATATTTTACTCGCACATTGCTGAAATTTAAATGTCCACTCATGCTTATAACTTAATGTGGTTATCCTTTCGTGTCATGAAACAAATTTGTTATGTTCCATTATATATGAGGCTAAAAGGATTTTGGGATGCTGATAGTTGGAATATTTTCAGGTACTCCTCCTAGGCCGATTGATTCTTCAAATGGAACTCAGAGAACTTGGCCATTCCCTTTTAAGAGATCAAAAAGCATGAAAAGTACTCGTGTGGAGACAAATGCCATTGAAAATCATAATTTGGTGGAGGTCCTAAGGAACTCCGGAAATTTGGAAGGGAAGGAAGATGTGACCAAAGTAAAGGAAAGAAAGAGGACATTTATGCGAACACTTACTCCAACATCTGAACAGCTGGCATCTTTAAGTTTGAAAGAAGGAAAGAATATAGTGGTATTCACCTTCCAAACCGCTATGCTGGGCAAGCAACAGGTTGTTATCATTTTCATTGTTTCATGAGAGCTCAGATTATAGCTAGTTTATCTGTGGATGGCCTTTGTTTGTTTTTCACCTCATGAGTATCTCCGACAATCCATCAAGTAAGATGTTAAGGAGGCTTAAAGTTTGTAATTGAAAGACAAGTGGAACTCTTTTTCCTTATTTTGTTTTTTTTTCTTCTATCATTCTGATTGTTGAAACATTAGGATGAATTGTTGTAATGTACTCGTTTTGTTTTGTGCATATGCTTCTGAACTGATATAAGGTTTTCACATCAAGGTTGATGCCCGGATTTTTCTTTGGAGATGGGACACTCGAATTGTTATCTCTGACGTTGATGGTACAATTACACGGTAAAGATTGTCTTGATTTCTCTACAATCATTTAAATGAAATGAATGGTCGGTCCCCAAGTGGGTAGTTTTCACCTATCTCGCGGGCACTTCCCCAATGGGTTTTTTCACCACATTTTACACACACCGATGCAAATATTTGACCTCCCATGGGGATAGTTCCCTATAGGGTAAGGTCGAACCTTCCCCCCAAGTGATTTAGCTATTTGCTCAATATTGATATGCGTTTCTGCTCTTTAGGTCTGATCTTCTAGGTCAAGTTATGCCTTTGGTTGGTATGGACTGGTCACAGACAGGTGTTGCCCATCTGTTCTCAGCAATTAAGGTTTGTTAATCTTCGAGTACATTGATAGTTGAAATCAACTTTTTTATCATTTCAGTTTTGTATGTTTTTCTAGTGAATATATTTTATGAGGACATCAGTTTGGGCAGTGTTTTTGGCCTAGTAAATTGTCGATTTGGTATTTCCCAAACTTGATTTTATTATTTGATAGAATTATATGAAGTGTTTTGTAAGAAGTAAAGAATCAGGAAGCGAATCTATGGAAAACAAACATAACTTCAAACAAATTCATTGTCATCTTCTCATTTTGGTTTCATCTTTTCAATTTTAACTTGTTTGGCTCACTTGTTGTTCTTTAGAGCTTAACTCTATGACAAGATGAGATTTGATATCCAAAAACTTAATATGACTTCCATGAATTGATTGATACAACTTTTATGCCAATAGAGCTTAATTGGGCATGTCGTAACAATGTATAATTTTGTATTATAATGAAATGATATACTTGATCTATAAATCAATGAGACAAATCGAAATTTTATGAAAAGATAAAATTGATGAGTGAACCGTATGAATCTTATATATTGAGAGCAATATCTTTTACTACACACAAGATCGTTGATGCTTTGTACTTTATGTGATGCAGGAGAATGGATATCAGTTACTTTTTCTAAGTGCACGTTCAATTGCTCAGTCCTTCCTTACACGGCAATTCCTTTTGAACATTAAACAGGTATATTTTCATTAGTATTCTAAACTGTTACTTCAAACACTTGTTCTTGTTTCATTTTATCTCAGTTTGGTATTTACTGTGAAACACATGCTTGATTGAAATTGGAAAAAGGCGTTTCATTCTCTTGATATATTTCACATTTTTCTTAATTGAAATTGAAAGAAAAAGAAAAAATAAAGCGTTTTATTCTCTTAATATATCTCACATATTTTTCATTTTTGTTCTTATGCAACGCCCTTTAATTGAGTTCATTGCTCTTTTAGGATGGAAAAGCCCTACCTGACGGCCCTGTCGTTATTTCCCCTGATGGCCTCTTTCCTTCTCTATTTCGCGAAGGTCACCTATTGCTCCCTTGTTTGTTACTTATTTGTCGACTAGAAAAGCCATCATCTCTAGAAAGTGAAAGTTCTCTGGTTTTGTTTTACGACAGTTCGTTATTGGGCAAGCAGAACTGAACTTTGTATTTTTTTTCGTACCTTTTTGGGTAGATAGTTTTCTCAAATTTTCCCTTTACAGTGGTTTTTAGGACATATCTCTTAACTTTGCTTTTGCAGTGGTTAGAAGAGCTCCGCACGAATTCAAGATTGCTTGCTTGGAGGTTCGTTGCCTGGTTTTTCTTTTCATCTTTCATGTCATCTGTTTTTTCTGTCCTTTACGCTCTCCTGCTATGGTAGTGTCGTACTGATGCTTAATTTTTTTGTATTTTTTTTTTCTTAATACTCCTTGTTGGATGCAGTTTTACTTTATTTTCTTTTATTGTAATTGTGTGTGTGTTAGTTTCTGCAGGATAATTATTTGGCTTATAGATGAGTATGAGTTGATAAATAATTAAATATAATTGGTCTTAAACTCCTGAAATTTTTCATGAGGCCACATAATAGAAATGAATAGGATTTATATGAGGATTTAAAGAAAATTCCATTTTCTGGTATTAGGACTTAATCACCACTTTTGGACTTTAGCAATTAAAGACACCAGGATTAATCCTTCTTGCAAATTGGATAACATCTCCGATTTCCTGCGATTGAAAGTTGATGTATTAGGAATTAATGTCGTAGAAGATCAAAGTAGTCTGTTTAACTAGTTGTTTTTGAAGCCAAGAAGAACACCTGCGCTAAATTTGAAATGAGAATCAGCCCCTCAATAATATATTATTTTCCCATTAGCCAATCTGTACCTTTGCCTCTGAGGAAAAAAAAAAAAAAAAAGAAGCAAACATGTTTTCGTTAACCAGTCTAATTCCCCAGGAAGGAGTTAGATAGTCTTTCTGTTGAATTTTGCAGGACATAAAGGCCCTGTTTCCTACCGATACAAATCCATTTTATGCTGGTTTTGGAAACAGAGACACTGATGAGTTTAGCTATCTTAAGGTCGGGATCCCACAGGGAAAAATATTCATCATAAACCCAAAGGTACTGAGACAAACATTAATTATTTCAGATTATACTACACTGATTATATGGTTTTTGTTTGACGATATGATATCGACAGGGTGAGATTGTTGTAAACCGGCGTGTGGACACCAAATCGTATGTGTCCCTTCATGCCCTTGTACACGGGATGTTCCCCACCATGTCATCTTCTGAACAGGTTTGTTTGACATTTTCGATATTTATGCAATCTTGATACTTTATTAAATAAACTCATTGGTTTTGATAGCAGGAAGATTTTAATTCATGGAATTACTGGAAACTTCCACCACCTATGATCGACTCTTGAAGGTGCTGCAAATGAAGTGTGCATGCAATCAGACCCGAAATATCTTCCAAGGATTGGAATGTTCAGGTATCTTTTGATACGATTACAAGTGCCATAATTTTTTTATCTCATTCTTAGGTTATATTAATCTTCCATTGCATTATGAAGGAATGACTCGGCAGAAATTGGAATTATAATCGCATGTAAGAATCCATTTTCTTGAGATTACTAAATGTTCAATGGATGTGTTAAACCCAAAATTTTCTTCCCCATTCAAAAACAAATAAATTGTTAATGAATGTGATTTGATGACTATATCAAGATTCAAGAGTAAATGAATTACATTTATGAATTACATTGTTTTTTAATAATGAAATTCAGGGTGGTGGAACACACAACTTCATCCTCAAACACGAATACAACCTGAATTTAGTTGTTTATAAATGGCACCTAGCCTTGTAAAAAAATCCACCAATACAATGGGACGGGTTATTTGCTTTCTGTCCCCACCGGCTTCAAGTGTCAGCCAAGCCGCATTCATCTTTGTATATGGCTCTTATTTCCATGGTATGTTTACACTTGGGCGCCTAGTTTATTTTTAGTGCCTTTTGGATCGATATGTATCGACAATCGGAAGGTTGAATATTTGTCAGTTTTGGAAAATTGGTTGCTTGAACCAATGTGTTTTGAGGTCCCCGTGAAATTTCATTACCTCGGACTTTTTGTAAGTTGTAGAACATATGTTCATTTCATATAAAGTTATTGTTTCATGCACAATATCTTGTGAAGAAAAATTGTTCTCAAGAAATTGTGCGCCATTTTTTCTCTTTCTTTCATCCTTTGGTAATGTTCGTCTGGCAGTTACGACAATGAGAAAACATAGTGAAATTTTGACAACGTGGTTTTCCCTTGAAATTTCAGCGTTCGACAATGAGGAAATCTGTTGTAATGTAAATCATCTCATATATGAATATGAAAGAAATAAATAAGTCATCTATTGTAACGTATTTGTTGACTTTCAACATATAGTATTTTTTTTTTTTTTTTTTT